CCTCATTTATTAGTGAGTACATTACTGAAGGCTCTCTGAGAGCTGCTTGATCCTTTTTCTCACAATTGCCAGAAGGGTATAGAATGGCTTATAAAAACATCTACACTGGATAAAGGCATACTAACAGAAGCTAGGTTTTGAATTAATGTTTCACTAAAATAGCTGTCTAATTCAGAACTCCATGCTACCATTATGCCTAACAGAATCTTTATGCATGGAAGCAGCATTCATGCAATAATGTACCATTCTCTATACAGAAAACCTGTGAACCTCACCAATATCTGATATATCTGTATCTATAAAAACTCAGCCCACATCCCATGTTCTAACAGATATACTGTCCCCAGAATATAACACTTATATAAGCTCACTTATCACTCTCAACATCAACACAATGACCCCAGAAATTGTTCCTCTCTTATCATGAATGGATTTGATACAATTTTATAGTTAACTTTCATTCTGCAGTCTCCTGACAGGTATGACAAGGAGTGCAGTATAACTTTATGGCTGCATATACTACGGACCATTAAATGATCTGAAGTAGCCTTTTCTTGGTCCAGCAAGTATCTACTTAAGCAAATATAATGGGTAGTATGCTGCATGTGGATTCCTGGTTTTTAGATCTTTTTAATTTCTTGTAGAAGAGATGCTATAAATAGTTTTCTCACTTCTATTCAGTTTTCTGTTGTCTTTCTTTAATTGCCTTCTATCCTTCAGGTCTAAATTTTTAGACAAGTTCAGAGGCTGCAAAAAGAAAGCCAGAATAAATTTAATATAACTCCCATATTTCAGAAGGTTTTTAAAAAACTTATGGCAATACTAAAATTTGGCCTATTTATTATAAGATTATGTATTAACTTGTCACTGATGGAATTAGTATCACTCATTCAATTAATTTTTCAAGTAATCTCTGTGCTAGTAAAACATTTCATGTAATATGATATCCATATGTTATATATTTAATTTTTAAAAAAGATTTATTTCAATAATATGTAACCTGAATTATTAGCCTGACAAACATTTCTGATGCTCAACAAGTAAACTGTGCTTTATCAGGAGTTTTCTTTATTAACTAGTTTGTAATGAAAAAATGCTTTTTGAATTTTATGTAACCTGATTCTCAAACTATTTTAGAAAAATCAGGATTTTTTTTTAATGAATAGCACTTTGTCTACCAATAATTTGTTGTCATGTTCATTGAGGACATTTTATGACATGTATTCAGGGTGTCACCTGAACTAAGACTCCATCAGCAATGTATTAGGAAGTATAGAAAAAGCATAAGTCTATAACTTTACAAATTTGTTTTGAAAATACTGTTCAAAACAATATTTTGCTATTGTTTTTGTATGTGAACTCAATAATCCCCATTAAAATGTTAAGCTTGTTGCCTTGTTTTGCTTAGGTAAAAAGCCATTGCATACATTTCTGTATTTTCTTGCAGTTTTTTTGGACTATACTTAAATTTTTATCTTAAAGGAAGAATCTTCTAAAAATAGACACATTTTCTCTTTCACTGTATCTAATATATTTATTAGATTTCTATCCATCCCTTTCATTCAAGAGCTTACGACAGTGTAAATAGTGATCTCACCTCCTATTTTTATCGCTACAACTATCACCATTGCATTGAGAAAGAGAATGACTCTTGAAGTTATTGAGTAAAGTTACATGTCTAATGAAGGAATAGATGTGAGCTTCCCAACTCTTAGTCCAAAACCCTCACACTTATCCCACCCTTGCTTACATTGTATCAAATAATTGCTTAGTAGCTGCTTATTCAGCAAACATTTGAAGTTGCAACAGCACTGAAAAAAGAGATTTACGGACAACCCTTGAAGTTACAGCCATTGTAGCATCCCCACAGTCACATGACCAAGTTTCAAGCACTTTGCAACTGGTATGCGTTCATGACAGCTGCAGCCTCCTAGAGTCGTGTGGTTGCCATTTGCAACCATCACAGTTGGCTTCCAATAAGCAAAGTCAATAGGGAAGTCAACAGGAAGCTGTAAGTTACAGTCACATGATGCTGTGCTTTACGAATCAAGCAAACAAGGTACCCTCAAAATGCTTAAGCTGCCTAAGCAGCTACCCAGCCACCACCCTGTAATGATAGTTTTGTCTTGTGGCAGAATGAAAACAGAAAACCAGGAAGCTTATAGTCTGGCAAAATATTCTGAAGCCAAGGATCAGCCTGTGGTAGATTTTTTCCCTTCATTGTTCTCATACAGTTATATGGTAGATTTATTTACTTATTTAAATGTTGACGTTACTTGACTCCCCAACAACTCTAGATAGTTTATAAATGAAATAAGATATAATAGATATATAAAAAAAGAATGTGGCTGACCACAAGAGTAAACATCTAATCTGTGGTTAAACTAAACTATCAAAAAGGGGATAAACAACCATCTTCTTCCAAGGCTTGAGAGATCCAGCCAGAAATAAATTACACAAAGATCTGTAATGCAAGTTTAAGACATAAATCTCATTGCTCCCAAATTATTTTAATTTCTACATACTGCTAATCTTTGGCTGATACTGCATTGTGATTTCTAGATTGTTGAATATAGTTGTTACCTCATAACTAATTTTGGTTGAAATTTATAACTGTGTATTATGCATGACCCACCAATTATTGGGGGCTTTGTAAATTCCTGCTAAGGTAATCAAGGTTAAATGAGGATTAGGTTTGCAGTTAAGAGGAAGCTGACAACTTCACCAGATCAGGTGGCATGATATTTTTTTTCTCTTAATATTGGCACAGGCTTAAAAAGCAGTTGGAGAATTATAAAGAAGATGAAATGGAAAATGCCTGTGAGGCTCTTCAAATGGAAATTGAATTTCTGCAGATGGTACACTCTTTTAACTTAACATGTATCATTATGGTGTGAGGTGGAGAAATAGATTCTATTATCTTGCACATAAAATACTTCTTTATAAATAGTGTACTATCAGGCAGGTAGATCTACTAGCTCTACAGACAGTTATCTGTATTTCCCATTATATACATGTCACCCCTTTTACTAGAAGCAGTATGTTGCTCAAAAGTACTTGCTGGAAAGATAGGAAGCCCAATTTTCTTGCTTGTGGGTGATTCTTAGATATTAGATTAGTCTTTGTTTTCCATCTCAAGTGATTCTCCCTATATACTTTCAGTGCTCTCAGGCAATTCATTGTTCAGGATAGACATTCAACACAGCCTGGAATACTGTATCTGAGCCTTTTAGTCCTTGTTAATGTAACAACTTTGAAATGCACATTTGTAAAGAACAATCTAAACAATGGGCAGACCACAATAAAAATGGGAACATGAAGCAATTATATTCATAGCAACACAATCTGATTGTCATGATTAAGAGACCACAAAAGCTAAAATAACTGAAAACTCAGTTGCAAAATAGCATAGGATTTAACTTTTAAAGCAGTGGTTGCCAAATTACTGGACGGAGAAGTTGATTGTACAGTATCTTGGGCAACTCGTTGTTTTTCCACTTTTACTATGCCTTTCCCTTTCCTATCTTAATCAATCAAGCCTTTCAACCCTATTTTCATTCAACCTATCTAGCCTCTAGCAGCTTTATTCTCTTTCCCACAAGCTTCTAGGCATAGTCATTGACTTATGATTGGTTGCTTAGAGACCATTTGAAGTTAAGATGGAACCTGCCCCCACCAAAGGTACTTATGACCTGGTTCCAAAGTTCTAATGGCCAGCCCCCCCCAATAGTTAAGTGACCACATTTTCAGCACTTGACCCTTAACCTGCCTTTACAGCTGTTTGTGGCAGCATCCATGGTGACATGATCATGATTTACAATACTTTTGTCAAAAAGTGTTTATTTACAGTTTTCAGTAAAAACGCCCCATAGCAAACAATGGGTTTGCTTAATGACCATGGTGTTCACTTGACAAATGTCACAAACAAGGTTGTAATGTCAGGTGAGTCATGTGGGTGACCTGCTTTATGACCATCACACCTAATGGCCATAATGGGCAGGCTCTGTTCTGATTGTAAGTTGAGGACCATCTGTACTAGTGCTATAGAGAGGTACAGCCTAATCTCTTGTATACATTTCGGTTGCAACAGGAACACTAGCTATGAGCAACTATAATACACACAAACCCTTTTTGTACTGGCTAAAGATGCAGAGACAGATGGACGATACAAAAATGTTTTAAGTAACTAGATAAAGCTATTGGAATGCATTGCTTATTATATATGCTTGTAATATAACAGCTATTTATTTCATCACTAGAACATCTAGGGCAGGAGTGTCAAACTAATGTCGTCACGGTGTTGTCACATGACGTATCATGACTTTTTGCTCCTTTGCTAAACCGGGTGTGGGTATAGCCAACATGTGACGCATCTGGCCCATGGGCCACGAGTTTGACAGCCCTAATCTAGGGTGATAATTTATTTTGTCACTAGAACATCTAGGGGGATAATTGTTAGAAATCCCTTTCTTCCAAAATAAAATAATAGAGAGAACTCCCAAACTCCCTCTTCCCCTGCAAGTTGAAAACAGTCCCAGCTATTGGTTAGTCATACATACTTCTTTCACCTGCAGAATAAAAGAGATACCTGCAATCTACCTCATAGTTGTTCCAAATAATAGAGACAACAAACTCCTCCATCACATTCAAGCTGACAGAAGAAAACTTGGCTTCCTTTAATCCGCTGTTCATGAAATCAAAACCTTCCATCAAATGCTAGATACAAGAAAGCAGTTATAAAAAGATGATTTGCAGATCCCAGACTATTTCCTTTGTCTCTTTCATAAATAATCCAACAGTAGCGATGGGGAGAAGGGCAAAGTCCTCCACCCCTTTATGCTTGCAATTCAACCTGTCAGCACTCTGCAGAATTTATTAGGGATTTAGGTTTATGTTAGTAAATGTCAAGTAAAATTATTTTGTTGTTTAATTTAAAGTAAGGAACAAGGAACTTTAGACAGCTAGTGTTCCCATTCTGTTTTCTTTTTTTTTTCTTGCAGGAATTGTTACAAAAAAAGTCTTCAGCCAAATAAATAACATATTGTGGACTGATTCAAATGTCAGAGGAACAGAATATTGTAGCATTTGGAAAAATGCTACTTTTATCATCCTTATTGGTTAAATTTATCATCCTCTGTTTTTCCTGCTAGCAGAGCAAGGAGTCTATTTTTTCACAACACATGTTGTATCTTTGCTTCTGGATATTTATTACCATGAATGTCTAACAACTGTAAACAAATCATTTTCCTTTCACACAGTGGGATTTTTCCTTGGCAATGTTCCCATTCCCATATTCAACAGTAAAAACCTATCTGTGGCAGAGCACTAACAGTTTCACATACAACATAAACATTATCCTTATAGAATGCAGTTGTTTTTTTAAAAAAAATTGGAAACGATAAATGAAGCTAATGCTTCTGGGATAGTACAACCTGTTCTTTTTAATAAGAATCTGCTGACATTTACATGTTTTCTTTCTTTAGGGTTAAATAACTTGTTTACATAAAACTCTGATTTTCATAACATCTCCAATGGTCATTTTATTCCAGTGTTTATATTTCAGTATTTATGTTGCCATGTTACTTTATCATTTTTATTATGAAATAAATTGTTACATAAATAGCCATTATTTATACTAATATGTATTTCAATTGGTGTTTCAGTTCATTTCACCAGCTTGAAATTTCCATCCTTTTATAAACTATTTAGTGTTGAAGTTGTCACATGTTAATTGTATATTTTTAATGTAATGTAAAATTGATCAATTTGGTAACATACAAATAATTGTAATAATTAATAAACAAATAAATATGGCCAAATTGTGTTATATTGTTTATAGATTAAGCACTGCTATGAGCAATAGCTACTAATGGTTATGCCTGTTTTACTATGGTAAACTTTTTTGTTTGGTCTACTGTATAATCTTTATCTAACTGATGAGCAATTACAATTTTTAAAATATTCCTGAAAACAATTTGTTTTGGTAATTAAAGATCATATAATATATGTATATGCCAAAATTATATAAAATATTATATAAGTTATATAAAAGTTGAAAGTTGGCCCCTAACAGTTTAGATTACAGTTTGTATTGAACCAATTCAATTTTGTTCAGTACCTCTGCTTAATGTAAGGTTAAATTTATAGTCTGAAAGATAAAAGATTCATTAATCATGCAAGGTTCATAAAACCAACCCTGATAATTCTATAGAAATTCACACCTGTTCCATATAGTCTAGTAACCTGTTTCCAACAAAGGCTGGATGTCTCTAGGAAGACCACAAGCTGTTCACAAAAGAAATACTCCCTCCCCCCAAAAAATTGGTCTTCCAAACATCTTAATATTCTTTGTAAAAACTTGTTTTAAATAATACTTCTGCAGCTTGTTTTCAATCCAGAAGATGGTTATCTCATCATACATTAGTTTTTGGTCAAAGGGCGGCAAGCTTTGGAGCCAGGCATACAGATGGAATTCTGAAGACATGTTATGACCATTCTCATAATGGGCATAACATGGGGAGAAAAGCTTACCTCCTCACAAAATGCTAGACAGCGTCAAATACAAAATAGTGTATCAGCAAAAAAAAAAAAAAAAAAGTTTATTGTTATAGTATTTCCTCTGCCAGTTCACTAGAATACTCCAATTTAATCTGTTTCCTTTTTTCTTCTTCTGGACTTGTGAGCATACTTTCATGTAGCCAAACTTTATTTTATATAATACTTAAGTGGTTTATTTTAACACCAAGAAACCTACTCGAGATCATGATGTCTTGTTTTAGAGCATGCTAATTTCTCATCTTTTTTTTTTTTTAAGGTCTGGTGAAATATAAAGTCTGTTAGATGCCAAATGATGTGTTTACAGGCACCATTTTGCCTCCATCTGCTTTATGGCTTTGAAGGTCATAACTATGTAAAGAAGTAGGGAATGAAATCCCAATGAAATCCCATGTTATAAGATTTGAAGTTGTATTACTACTCTATCATGCATATTTCATACTGCAACTCTAGACTGAAGAAGAGATGAAGAACTAGAAGACTAGAGCGGATATTAAAAGAATACCTGGCAAATCCATTCATCCTCTGAGCAATGTATTTATAGAAATAAAATAACAGTTATCCTGTCCATTTTCATAATCTCCATATCCTGATTTTTTTTTTATTTTTCATATAATGCAATGTTCAAGCAAAATTTAATAGACTTTCAAAATCAGAATGTCCATGTTTCTCAGACAAACAAAATTATGGTTCATATCAATCATAGTGAACTGAAGAAATAAAACATCAGTGAAGAATAGAATTATGGTCCCAAAAACATTTATGAGGGGAGCTTAATTGAGGCAAGTGTGTTGTATATGCAGATGCTGAAATTAGCACCATTATCTTACTCATACAGAAATCTCAGGCTCATTTAATCTATTTGTGCACAAAGCGTGGGTATGTCTGCATGTACAATTTTTAAATCAAAGATGAGTAATTCTTGAAATAACAAGAAGAGAAAGATGAATCTTATGTCATTTTAATTAGACTGCTACAGTACAGAACATTTACAAATTTGTTTGAGGACATGGGATTATTAGCAATATACCAGATATCCTGAAAAAAGTTAAATGTTTATGAATATATTTAATTTTTTTTAAAAAAAAGTTAAGAACATCAATCATCTAAAGATATCTTTTGATATGAAGAAAATATTGAAAAGGTTTATTCTAGCAATAAAAAGTGGTCAAGGAAAGATACTGTTTCTATTATTTGTCAAATGAACAGTGAATGAAGATGGTCTCGTCTCCACATTTTTGGTCTCATCTCCGCTTTTTACTTCTTTCTTTTTAGAATGGTATAATTGATTCCAGAGACACTAAATAAGTGGCTAGCTGTTTGGATGTGGAAAACCTTATAGATTAAACCAGATAACCTTCTAATACTTTCAGATGTAAAACTGCATTAATCTATTCCAAATCAATCTCTAGATATCACTTGACTTCGGTTGATTTGAAATATTTCATGGCTTGATTATTTTTATTTATTTATTTTTATTTATTTATTTTGTCGAATACATATTAAATAATATATATAATATGTGGCTCAGAGGTTGTGGCTCAGAGGTTAATACAACTGCGTAATATGCAGGCAGCCCAAGTTCGAATCCAAGTAAAGGTATGGCTAGCTGATGAGAGCTAAATAGCTTGAAATAGATCTAGACTAGTCTCCCTTTATTTCTTTATCAGCGAAATATAAATTTGGTATAAAATGGTTTGTCATGAATGTGACTGTTTGAGACTTCTGGATTGGAGCTGAAAGGCAAAAGGGATGCAGTATGCTCCCTTCCCACGTGCTAGGGTAGACCAGGTGTCTCATATTTTCTCCCTCCCAAGTCCCAGCTGATCGGGAAGAAATGGGGATTTTGCATTAACCTTCCCCTGGAGTGGGGTGGGAATGGAGATTTTACAGTATCTTTCCCCTGCCATGCCCACCAAGCCATGCCACACCCACCAAGTCACACCCACAGAACCGGTAGTAAAAAATTTTTGAAACCCACCACTGATATGTGTGTGTGAGAGAGAGAGAGGTGGGGGGATGGATTCTAATTTTTACTACCGGTTCTGTGGGCGTGCCTTATTTTGTGGGTGTGGTTTGATGGTCATGTGACAGTGGACATGGATTGATGGTCATGTGACTCTGTGGGCATGGCCAACTGAATGTCATGTCAAGGGGTGCCTCGCCTGGCCGTCCCCTTCCAGCCATTCCTTGTCACATCCAGCCTCAACATATCTATAGTTCTGTAAAAATGTTGTTCATCTTTTTTCAACTTTATTATCTACATACTATAGATGTCCTTTCACTGAAAGGAGGAAATGGCTCACATGCTTTGTCCAAGAGTGTGATAGGCAACAGGCTTTTAAGGGGCTGCGACAAAGAAGGTAAAACAAGAAGCAATGGATGGAAACTGAACAAAGAGAGAAGCAACCTAAAACTAAGGAGAAACTTCCTGACAGTGAGAACAAGAGCAAGCGGGAGCCGGTTCGAGAGCGTGGCCAGCCAAAGATCACTAATGGTTCAGGGAACCACACTAAATTTCCGCTAACGGTTCTCCCAAACCGGTCCAAACCGGTAGCAACCCACCTCGCATGTGTGTGTGTGTGTGTGTGTGCGCGCGCGTGTGTGTGTGTGTGTGTGTGTGTGTGTGAGAGAGAGAGAGAGAGAGAGAAAGATAGACAGGTAACAGACAGACAACAGATAAGCTACCAGCATGAATAGTAAAATAGAGAAAGCATTTGAAAACATTTTTCTAAAAACTTCTGGGTTTTTTTAACCATATTTATGCATGAATTTTTCTTTTTCTTACATTAACAATAGCATAACTTTTGTGTCTCTTCTGGGTTTACAGATTAACCACATTTCTGACCTCAGACAAATGCCCATCGGTTCACACCATGGTTTTGAAATGCTTTGTTTTGTATACTGAATGCTAATTTTCTTATAACTTCATGAGATCATCCACAGTTTAAATAGTGTTCCTATGCTGTTCAGTATTATCAGTTACTTGTGTTCAGAAGATGAGAGCACACTTATAAAGTTTGCATGTGATAGAAAAGCTGAGAGAGGTGACTAACAGTCTAAATGAAGAAGAAAATGTCTAGACAGATTTGAGCGGTGGGATGAAATGAGTAGGAGACAATCTATCAGGGACAAATGTAAAGTTTTGTATCTAAGAAAAGTGGTAAGGCACAAATACAGGATGTCAGAGACTTGGCTTGACCATATGACATGTCAGAGGAAATATAGGTGTCTTTGACTGCAAATTAGACATGAACCAAAAGGAGTCATCATAACTGTTCATAATCATAACAGTTAAAAGACATATCTGTACTTTTTGTGTTACATTAGTAAGACCATTGTGTCCGGATCACCACTCTGCTCTCTAAATAGAGCATTGAGGAAGAGATCAAGGGGACCAAACTGATGTAATACCATCATGATGCAAGCTTTGCCCCGCCCCCCACCCTTTTGAGGCAATCCTGACAAGAAACACAGCAATGAATGCCAGGTCTATCTATTGTAAGGTTATATATTAGCAGATTCTTTCAAGAGTTCTACTTTCTGGAAAACTAGGAAGCTTTCCTTCTGAAACTTCCCATGCTTCTCCTGTGGACTAAGGCAGTGATGGGATTCAGCCAGTTCGCACCAGTTTGGGAGAACCGGTTGTTAACTTTCTGAGCAGTTTGGTAAACTGGTTGTTGGAAGAAATAATTTGGGCAGAGAACCGGTTGTAAATTACTTGAATCCCACCACTGAACTAAGGTATCTTTTACCTGCCAGTTGTACAGTCTATAGCTGTTCTTCCTGTCTCCAAAGGCCATTCTCACACACCATTATACCCCTTTTCTATTGCACACATATGCCAAAGGAACAGAGGTTACATTGCACTGTGTTTATCATTTTGACAAAAGTATTGGATCCTGAGGATGTCTTTTGTGTCTACCTCTAGGCAACATAGTTCAAAATCATAGTGTCACATGGAGTTAGTTTAGAAAATGCCTACACGACAAGGAAAAGTCTAAAAAAACAAAGTATATGAGGAACATTTAAAAGCTCTTTGTATATTTATCAATACAGAAAGGCTGGCAGACATAATAACAGTCATGTCCCCTTGGAGGGGGATGGATGGCTATATAAATAATAAATTATAATAAATTATTGGTGTATAAATAAACAAAGTCTTCACATATCTGAAGCATTGTCACACAAAAAGCAGGGTGAACATATTGTCTTGCTCCAAAGGGCAAAACTAGAACCGGTGCATTAAAACTTCTAG